ATATTGACTTATTTTTATAAATTAGGAGAGAAAAAATTACTATTTTTATATTATTTCTTTATTTAAGGAATCATTTATTATATATAGACTACATCATAGTTTCTCAAACTTCAACCACAACACAAAAGTAGATTTTTTTATTATCTACCTTATAAATAAATCCATATAAGAAAAATAAGATTAGATAATAGTATTTTTTTAATTGAATTCTCATAGCACAATCCTCCAATGTGTAATCTTATTAGGTAGAGATGTTTGGACTCTTTGTTCCTTTAAAATAGGACACATTAATGAACCGCAAATTGAAATTGTTCTTTCTTGTGAACTTCTAATCTTGATTATTCCAACTATTTTTTAAAAGACTTTCTTCACTTAAAAAGATAAAAAGAAACAAATAAAGTGAACTAATCTTGATTTTGTCAGATAAATTATTGTTTAACATATTTTTAATTTGATACTCCTTGTCAACACCCAATTTCGTTCGGATTGACTGTAATAGGTTTATTTTATTTTATTTTTGTCTTATTTTATTTTTATGCTATTTTCTTTCATTTTTATTTTTATTTTTAAGTTATGTTTTAATTTTACTTTTTTAATAAAATAATAAAATAAAATAAAAAAATAAAAAGAATAAGAGAAGAGAAAGAAGAAGAAAAAAGAAAAAGAAATAGGAAAGCAAGATCCCAAGGTCAACCCCTCCTATAATGTAAAACAATGCTCAGGGACAAAAGGCAGCAGAGACAATTGACAAAAGCAATGCTCAAAATGTACATTTACAATGGCAGTGACAAAAGGCTTCGGCTCCTCTTCCTATAATTCCCTACGTAGGATTACAAGTATACATCAAAGGGGAAGGATTTTTTTTGAAAAACAAGCTTCTGCCAACTGATAACCGATACAGTAAACATGAAGAAAGAAAAAAAAACAAAAGGAAATCCCACGCCAGAAGATATCCCAGAGCTCCTAGGAAGTAGAGGAGACAGAAGTTTGGGTTGGCTTTCGAAAATCGTTTCATCACGGTCATTAAAAAAGGAGGGGGGGAATCATTTTGCCTTCACCTTCACCTTGGTTGCCATCCGCAAACCTTAGTGCCCATTCAACCTGACTTTTCCGTGCCTGCAAGAACATATTGGTAATCCAAAGAAGATTCGGTCAAAGAGAGCCAGAGAGACCAGAGCCAAAAGAAAGGGTTTTGAAGCTGCGAAGGTAAGTCTTCGTATACCTTAACTCTTTCGTCTATATGCTCATATATATGTTTTCCTTATGCATGCTGGGAAATGAATGAATGATGTTTGATCAATGTACATAGTTGTGTTTGTTTTATTTGTGACAATCCTCTGTCAATCAAAGTTGCACCCAAAATATAGTTTCAATATCGACAAGATTCATCAGATACAAATGACAATAGAAGATAGGTATACACTTCCCTAACATCAACACTTCATAAAGCAAAACAAAAGGCAGAAATAGTTTTTCTATCTAACGGGATCTCCCTCAACATTTCTATGCTACAACATTCATCAGATTAATTCCAAAACGGCCATGACCACTCACACTCATATGCACACAACACACACTCATAGTTTCCAACCCCAGTAGAAAAACATCGAACGAATCAATCAATACCAAACTAAACCAATAAATAAAAAAGGATGAGAAAAAGAGAAGGAAAGATACTTTCGTCCTCGACATCGACGGTGGTGTTGCTGAAGACGTTTGGCATTTGAGAGAAGGACTCTCGAATGGGGAGGGAGGAGAATGGTGCTGACTGCGCCGATGAGGAAGCAAATTCCGGCAAGGACGACAGTGGCCGGTTTCGTTAACGGCGACTGATTTCGCTCGTGGCCCGAAAGACGGTGCTTGGGGTGCGGCGACCGGCGGCAACCTGGGCCGTGATTTGTGGCGCTGGTAGCGTCCTGGTTCGAGACGTCTGGGCTTGCTCAGGCGGTGTTCGACAGAGAAGGGAGAGAGCTCGCGCCGAATCGGAGGGTGAGGAGGGCCTTCACGCTACAACCGGCTGCGTCCCGGCTCGTGGCTCATGGTGGTCGGGCTTGCCCAGGCGACAGCCGGTGTCATTCTAAGACCCAAGGGGTTTCTCCTCTATCGCACGGAAATTGGACAAGAAAGAAGATCTGACGCCGCGGCCAGCCGCGACCCTGGTTGCGCTTGGGATCGCCGGCGACGTCATGGACCAGGCGGAGGGCCTCTTCGTGGTGGCTGGTCTGGCAGGGGCAGCCGTATGCGCGCAGGGAAGACGACCCCCTTCATCGGGTTTCCTGGCCGGGAGAAGAGAGGGCGGTGACGTTGTTGGTCGCCGGTGGTTTCGGGCGCACCTGCTGTTGCCGGCGATGACGAAACTGGTGGAAGGCGGTGGCGTGGAGGCCGGTTCTGGCTAGGAGCGGCAGCGAACCTCCGGGAGGGGAAAGAGATCTTGGGTCTCTGGAGAACTGAGTATGATTGTTGGGAATGAAGGGGGAGATGCTGAACCCCTAGGGATTTCTGGACAAAAATTGGGCCAAACCCTAAAACAAAAAAAAGAGATATATTTTTCCTTGCACCCCCTGCTTTCCATTTCACACTCCTTTCCGCTTGGGCTTAGGCCCAGTCCATTATTAGAAAGAAAAGTGGTTTAGACACTGCCGTTTTCACTTGTATACACCCATTCCATTCGGGCTTAAGCCCACTCTGTTTCTACAAACAAAAATAAAAAAGGAATTGGACCTGGGCACACATTTCATGCACCCCCTATTTTCATCTTTACACCTTGGCAAATACAAAGTTGGAGAAAAGGGATTTTGACCCAAACTAAAGAGCCTCAATTTTACTCCGTACCTCTAGTTTTTATCTCTACACTCCTATTCTTATTGGGATGTTCTCTTGCTTTTATTTTATTTTTATGCTTTTATCATTTGTTTGACTATTAGGTTTTATTATATGTAATCCCTTGTATGATAACCCCTCACCCCTTTGTTTTATTTATATCTATTGGACTTGTTTGTTTTGTTTTACATAAAAATTACAAAAATAAGAAAAAAAGATAAAATATTAAAATTACAAATATTTTGAAAATTAAAAAATATATTTTAAAGGTTAAGCACATGTGTGATCACACGCATCGTCCTTGTGCTAAAAACTTTTTCTCCTTCTTTTAAAAAAAATACAAAAATATATTTTAAAGGTCAAGCACATGTGTGATCGCTTGCATCGTCCTTGTACTAAAAACTTTTTCTCCTTCTTTTATAAAAAAATACAAAAATATATTTTAATGGTCAAGCACATGTGTGATTGCTCGCATCGTCCTTGTGCTAGAAACCTTTTCTCTTTCTTTTATAAAAAAATACAAAAATATATTTTAAAGGTCAAGCACATGTGTGATCGCTCGCATCATCCTTGTGCTAAAAACCTTTTCTCTTCTTTTATAAAAAAATACAAAAATATATTTTTAAGGTTTAGGCACATGTGTGATCGTTCACATCGTCCTTGTGCTAAAAAACCTTTTCTCCTTCTCACATAAAAATACCAAAATATAAAACATTCACATCTTCAAACAACAATCAACCTTTCGGCCAGAACTACGTGATCCTTGACTCTCCATCAAAAGTGGAGATACGTAGAAGCAAGGCTAGTCCTTGTCAGGTTCACTTCCCCAAAAAAATCCAAATTTATCCATAATCAATTTCTCAAACAATTCCTTAAACAAAATTTTCTAGCAGAACCACGTAACCCTGATTTCTCATTCTGAGTGAGAATACGTAGGAGTAAGGTCAATCCTTGTCGGGCCAAAAAACTAACAAATATATTTTGTTTATTTAGAGTTTTGTTTTTGGGGATAGTTAAAAATTTTGAAACCCACATCACATTCGCCTATTTAGTTAAAGGTACTGCTTTCAGGCAAGCGTTGTAGGGTGTTAATACCTTCCCTACGCGTAACCGACTCCCGAACCCAGAATCTGCTTTTCTTGGACCGTGTCTTTCTTTATGGTTTTCCCGTAGTTTTCCAAAATAAACTATGGTGGCGACTTCAAATCTTTTTCTAAAACCCGTCTTTTTTTGGATCGTCGTCCCGTCGCGATTCCTGTTGCGACAGATGGCGACTCCATTGGGGAAGTTAGAGAGTCAAGCCATTTAATTAGATGCGCGAATGCGATGTGGTTTTGCTTTATGTTTTTCTTCTTTTTTTTTCTTTATCTATGTTTGATATTTGAAGTAATTGCATGTGAATTGTTTTGATTTTTCTATATCGAACCCTAGGTAGAAAACATGTCTATATCTGCTTGGGATTTTTCTGGTTGTTTTGCAGGTGAGGGTTTGGGTATGCATTGCGCTCTCCCTTCACACTATGCATATCATGAGTGGGGTCCTATACCCGGGTCGGAGTGTAACTTAGAAATAGAGGGGTTGTGTAGCGAAGCCATTTGGGACATACTTCTTGTTTGGCTATCGTGAGAATCCCAGCTAGAGTTTGTTCTCTTAACTTGTGTCTCCGCGTCTAGTTGATTACTCGACTGTCGTGGAGATGCCATGAAGGGGGCCATAGCTCTAGTGACCGTCGACCTTTAAGTTTAGGGAACCATCCTGGTGAGATTTCATATGGTTGACCTTGAATCCGAAGTAGTGAACCTTTATTAGGGAACGAAGGGAGAAATGTGTATTCCTGTAACCCTCACATTGTTTGTTTCTTTTTGTTTAAAATATTGACATTGCATGCGCTTTGTTAGTCATGTTGGTTTTACTTCGTTGTGTCACCATGCATCATGTTCATTCATCATTTGGTAACATGCTGGCTTTAGGGGAAATCACAGGTATTCACTTGATCTCATACGAGATGGAAGTTGATACAAGATCCGGTACTACGCAGCAGACCGATTCTACCGTTTTAAGAAAGAAACCTCGCCTAAGGATTCATGGGGGAAATCTAACAGGACTGATAAACTTAGGCAGAAGCGTTAAGAACATAAAGAGAAACCTTCAAGAAGAAGTATGGAAATTTGTTGAGTCTAATGGAAGTGGAAGTACATTTGCCTGCTATCATAGCCCTTGCCCAGTATTACGACTCTCCGCTAAGATGCTTCACCTTTCAAGACTTCCAGTTGGCGCCGACTATAGAAGAGTTTGAGCATATACTTGGTTTACCCCTGGAGGGTACCACGCCGTATCAGCACTTGGAGCATCACGCCTCTATCTCTACCATTGCTGCCATAATGAAATTACAACCCAAGGAACTCGAAGATAGGTTGGTAACGAGGCATCAAATGTGTGGACTGACACATGGATATCTGGAACAGTACCTGCAGCATCTGGCTGATAAGGAAGAGTGGGAGACTTTCATGGATGTGCTAGCTCTCATCGTGTACGACATTGTTTTATTCTCCAAAATAGAAGATTTTGTGGACTATACCGCAATAGATGTCTTCGTGGCGAGAAAGACGAGATCGGAGAATCCTGTAACGGTAGTCCTTACTGATGTTTATGGGACCATGAGTTTCTGTCACGAAAGGAAGGGGAAGAAAATCCTTTGTTGTTTGTCGGCACTGTACGCTTGGATGACTGCACGTGTGTTTAAAGGCGCAGTCAATGTCAAGCGTCCTTCAGAAAATCTGTCACACCAAGGGCTTAAGGACAAAGGAGGAAATGAGTGGGCCCATTTCTTTGCTAGCTTGAATGGAGGTAAATTAAATTGGCTTCTTCCTTGGCTTGGTATTAAACAGTCTATCCAATATTGTGGCCGCTTTCCCAATGTATCTCTCATAGGGGCCCGATATTGCATCAATTACAACCCTCTTTTGGTTCAAAGACAATTCGGGCATCCCATGAAATGGGCACCTTCACCGTATCTCATGACAATTTTCATCTACTATGAGGACGAGCTGCACTGAAATGTTGAGGAAAGTTAGAAGCGCTTGGGAAAGTGTTGTGTGAGCTGAAAAGGATCTAAGGTTAGGAGTGGTAGACGACAAGGTTAGTTATCATACATGGATCCTAGAAAGGGTAAAGGAAGAGAGTCAAGTTGCCTTTCAAGCCCATCAATGATCAATCGGCGAGGGAAGGG